AAAAAAAAAAAAAAAAACAACGTGGAAAAAGCATAATAATTGAATAAATATCTGGTTATGGTACTAACTTATTTGCTTTCGAGTTATATCAAATAGTTTGTTACTGTATTATAGAACATGAATTTTAAATGTGGACCCCGTGTTACTGGTCATGCCTCAACATCTCTCTTCTCTTTGTATCTCTTTCTGCAGACGAAGGGATGAAGATTGGAGAATGGGAGATATTATACACACTCTTACAAACAGAAGGTGGCTGGAAAAATGTGTTTCCTATGCAGAAAGTCATGACCAAGCACTGGTCGGCGACAAAACTATTGCATTCTGGTTGATGGATAAGGTGATGCATATGTCAGAATGGCCTAATATGCATTTATTATTGGTTGAATCGTAACTGAGTCAGATTTTAATATAGTCACCCACTTTGTAATAGTGGGAAGAAAATACTAGTGTTTTTAATTTATTGAAGTTATGTTGTTTCCCTTCTGCAGATATGTATGTATTTTTGTCAGTTAAAGTTAGAGAATCCAGTCGATTTAAGAAATGTGGTGTAGAAGACCTTGAATAGAATAAAAAATATTGTGGGATTAGACGGTTTATTTGGGCAGCTGCATTTCTGTTAGTCAGGCTGCCTGATTATAGTTTGTCAGTCATCCATTTATCAGAAGCAACTTTCCTGAAGACTAAGTCCAATGTAGTTGATGTTCTGATGTAAATATCTGTAAACAACATCCACTCCATTCTTGGTGTTCTGTTATACACCTATAAACCATATATGTTTCAAAATTTGGGCTTATTATAGTATTTAAATCTTCTGGTCAGGATATGTATGACTTCATGGCAGTGGATAGACCATCAACTCCCTTAATAGACCGGGGAATAGCATTACACAAGATGATCAGGCTCATCACAATGGGATTAGGTGGAGAAGGATACCTAAATTTTATGGGAAATGAATTTGGACATCCTGGTGGGTTTACATTGTATTATTTCTTGCAAAATTTGTAAACCATCATAGCATTACATGTCTGAGAACATGACTTTTATTTTGAATCCAAAAGCACATCATTAAATCCTTTTTTTTTTCTTTTGAACCAGAATGGATAGATTTTCCTAGAGGAGATCAACATCTTCCTGATGGCAGAATCATTCAGGGAAATAATAACAGTTATGACAAGTGCAGGCGCAGATTTGATCTGGTAAAGCTAATTCTCTTTATTTGGATTTAAATTTCTTAAATATGATGTCCAATTGTCCTCTACCATTCATTCTGATTTGACGAGTAGGTTGAAGGAATGTTCAATCATCTGTTCTATGTTTGATAAACCAAGATCCAGTAACTTTAGTCATGGAATATTTTATTGACCAAAACTGAAGCTTGAAATTATCTCAATTTTATTTCCGTAGCTGAACGGAGCTGGGGCATGATATGAGACATGTGTGAATCTGGGAAAATGTCTGGAAAGGCAAAGCGAGAACCAATAAAATGTTCCACTACCTTAACACAGGCAGATGAGTTATTATATAAATTTAGCTATCTCTTAAAATAAAGTACCCATTAAGACAAAACTCCACAGAAGGACACTTACATAAAAATACTCACTCTAAGAGAATATTAATATAGAAAATAACATCAAAAATGTATTTGTGCTGAGAGAGTAAATAGATTGAACTTCAATCACATTTGCGTGGTTTCAGTCCCAAGATAAATGTTTCTTAACTGAATCTTGGGTTGTAGAGGTCTCTGAAAGGAGCTCTGGTAACAGAGAACCAATGAGATTACACATATAGAACATCGAGTATTATGTTAAAGATATATTTGGGATTTATCTCAAACAATTCAAATTTTTTTGTTACTATGACTCCATTACATTGGCAAACATCATATGCCGCTCAATGTATAAATATGTGTTTGCATTATTTCATTTGCAATCCTGCTCGTAGATACATTTTTAACTCGCTTACTCTCTAGCATTTTGGTTGTGGGAGTGAGCATCTCAGTCTGATTGCTAACTGGCTTTACTGCACTTTTTACTATAAATTATGTCATCAATATTCTCTACTCTCTAAAATATCTTAAACATTCCATATAATGTCACTTATTAATCATCAGACCTTTGGGACAGTTGAGTTTTTTTTTTCTCAGTTTAACTTTGATGCATATCCAGGGCGATGCAGATTATTTAAGATATCGTGGTATGCAAGAGTTTGACCGAGCAATGCAACATCTTGAAGAAAAATATGGTGTATGTATTCTTTGCACTGAAAACATTTCCTTGATTGAATTTCGGTGGTGTATTTTTCATTGAATACTACAAAAAGTTGGATACAGCATGATATATGTGTGATGGAGTTGAAGTAATTTATTAACTTAAGGCTATGTATCTGCATATACTGTTGGTAATAAAGTTATAAAGAAAGAAAATATCGACATATTCTGCAGCAGTACTTTTTTTTTTTTTTTTCATTTCAAGTAGGTTCCCCATTTTCTCATTTTTCCTGTATTTTTGTGAATCCTTCATATTAGAAGCCTCTCTTATCCATTTGCCAATTATTTTTTATGGATTCCACTTTACCTATATCCGTTAGTGCTGTGTTTTAGTTGATTATGAAAACGAAGATCTGTCCTTTCCGTGTTACTTATACTGAATTAATTTGAAAAAAAAAAAAAAAATAGTTATAGAAGGACGTGAGGAGAGGGGAGTTTAAATTCCTAAGAACTGTGTGGTACAAAGAGACCTTGTATCAACCAAAGTAACATCCTTATAAAGGGTGAGAAGAACCATCCAAGCTACAAGCTTGTGGTTATACTAAAATAGTTACTTACCGGTATTGGTTGGTCCGTCCCTAATGGACTTGTCCATGTACTGTTTCTTTACTACTGTTTACTGGTTAGTGTGGGATAAACAGCCTGAATAGTTATATGAGCCCCATATATAAAAGGATTCTTTGATTGCATGCTCCTTAAAGCCTTAACTGGGTGTCCTTTAGACTTCATGATTCCCTTTCATCTTTCAATCCTTTGCCTCCCAAATGCCAGAGCAAGTGAAAAATTTCTTGCTCCAACAATTATTCCGTTGTAAGTTAAATATTTAGAACAGTTTAATGATTGAATTGGATGATGCTGTTGCGTTCAACCTCTTGAACTAAGTTAAAAGTCTGAATTTGAGTTTGCTGCTTGCTTCAAACTATTGTTGGAATATCACTTGTGAGTTCCCTCATTGATTCTATAGGGTAAACGAGCCTAGTGGGCTACTCCTCTCATCACCAATTAGTTTTGGGATGGAACCTCACTAAGGTGCACCTAGGCTCACCCTCTTGTGGTGCGCTTCACCTGGTGGGACCGCACCCTCTTCCCCGGATCCTAATAACTATCTTACTTGAAAGTAATTGTCCAAGTCTCCAGGTTTGAGCACTTTGATGTATATATTTTTAAAAATGTGGCTGTAATGTTCTGCAGTTCATGACGTCAGAGCATCAGTATATATCAAGAAAGGATGAAGGTGATAGGATAGTCGTATTCGAGAGGGGGGACTTAGTCTTCGTCTTCAATTTTCATTGGAGCAAAAGTTTTTCAGATTATCGGGTAGGCTGCTTAAAGCCAGGAAAGTACAAGGTACGCCAATAAAGATCGTTTGCTTTGCAGATAGTTATTTCAATTTTCCAGCTCAAAAGGAAAACCTACATAAATTTGCCTTACGATGACCATTAATGTTGTGTTTATTTCCCCTGAAATGGAAAATCTACTTGATTTTCTGATGGTATTTATTTATATATTTTCTGGTGAATTTATGAAACTATGTATCTCTTATATATATAATTATATATATGTAACTATATTCTGGTGAATTTTTGCAACTATGTATCTTTTATAGTTTTTATAAGGCCAAGTGTTCCATTAAAACACTGTCAGGTTGTTTTGGACTCGGATCATCCACTATTTGGAGGCTTCAGTAGAATCAATCATGAAGCAGAATATTTTACCACTGTAAGATCTTCAAATTGTGATATACTTTTTTGCTAATAATTTATAAATACCAGGTACACTCCGATTCCTATGATTTCTTTCTTCTTATTCCATGATTTCGAATTTATTTTCTAGAACTGCAACATATTCTGTCACATCTTCTTAATGATATTGAATATCTAAACCTTGCTCTGTTTTTTGAAACTTGAAATGTTTTGAATGAACAAATTGTTCTGCTTATTAACGTTAGCTTGTAAGAATGAAGGTAAAACTGTATATGATAATCATAGTATTTCCTTATCAATTTATTGAAATATTGTCATCAGCAGCACACTTATTTGATCACTATCAAGAGAAAATTGTACCTTTTAACCACACTTAATGCATGCCTCATTTTGTGCTCAACTGTATCGAGATATATCTTCAGAACACACACTTTCCCTCCATGACGTGTAAATATACACGAAAGGGATGTCCAATCAAATTGCATAATAATTCAAAATCGCCGTGCATAAAGCTTATCGTTATATATATTAAATTCCTGCTACGCATAACTTGTGCATATAGTGTAGTCAATATGGTTTCATAATCTGCCTGGGAAGCTTGTTGCTTTCGAAGAAATATAAATATAGTGAATAATACTTTTCTTTGACCTGATCTCTACAGGAAAGGGGGCATGATGACCGGCCTCGTTCGTTCCTAATCTATGCACCTTCTAGAACAGTGGTGGTCTATGCCTTGACAGAAGATGAACTTGAACCAGTTGATGCTGATGTGAACAGTATTTAAAACAATTTATGTCTACATGGCTCGGGCTTAAGGCGAATCTCACCATGCTAAAACAATAAAGGTACGCAAGGCATGTAACAGACAGGTTGCAAATAAAGTCTAGAATGTACTTATGACTGATGGCCTATGTATAATACATGTCTCGTATGATGATTCTCTTAGTCATTCCTGGTTCATGAATTCTTTGGGCTGTGAAGGTATATTCCGAGTATGTGTAATCGAGCAATTGATGGATAACCAGAGGTAAATCAATTGGCTTTGTCGTCGAGTGTTTACTTTAGATAACAATCAGATTTTGTTTTACCCTAGTGTGTTTTTATTTAAATTTGAAACCATAACATTTATACAAGATTATGTTTCTTGGCATAATGCAACCTGTCTAGAGTTAGATAGAGCAGTTCGTTAAATTCTATTGCTGATTCGACAGTTATTTGTGAGCGTGAGTGTTGCTAAATCAGCATAGGATTACATGATACAACAATGTGGACTTTTAAATCTGATGTACCATACGTTCGTCTACTATTAACTATCTGAGAAAGATGCAGTGCATATGTTTGCTGTCATGGTGTGCAAATTCCAATCAGAAAAAAAAAAAAAAAAAAAAAAAAA